CATATTCAGCACTCAAACTGAATTAAATGAATGGCTAGGGTTAGGAAAGAAGAGAAAGCTATGGGAAACAACTCTAGATGAGGAATCCAGAGCCCTGGCTTTGCTAATGACTAGTGATATGACCTTAGAATTCAGGCTTTTAGTATGTTCATCTGGAAAGTTAGGAGGGTGGGCTAGAGCAATTTGTTTTTTTAAGCACATGCTATTATCTATTAGCTGGACATAAATTAATTTGGGGGTTGAAACCCAGTATTTTTTTTAATGAAATTAAAATAATAGAATATATTAAAGTGTATTACAAGCAATGGTATGCTTATAAATGTTTAACAATTAGCTATGGAGGTTTGGAGAGGGATGAATGTACCATTTGCTGATTTCCCTAGTATAAATACTCCCACTGTGACCAATTTCAAGCTATCAACATCATGTCACTGAACATCTGTAAAGCTAGAAGGGAAGAGATATGCACAATTGCTCTCACAAGCCTTTATGAGCCAACTCAGCATGGCCCTGAAAAGATAAGTATTCTTTAACCAAACCTTCCTTTCAACTTTATGTGTATGTAGCATGCTGAATCAAGATATAAAATTTATTTCTGTGGGTCACAGTTAAAATAGTTTAATAAATGTTCAGCTGAATAATTCCCTAGTCTCTTCCATATAAACTACATAATTCAATAAATCTCAATCTTGGTTACATATTTAGTCTCTTCACCACAATTTCTCTTCACCACAAATACTCTTCAAAAATGAGAGTAACAGGGTGGCACAGTGGTTCATGCCTATAATCCCAGCACTTTGGGAAGCCAAGGTAGGAGGATCACTTGAAGCCAGGAGTTTGAGACCAGCCTGGGCAACATAGCAAGACCCTATATCTACAAAAATTTTTAAAAATTAGTGAGGCATGGCCGGGCATGGTGGCTCACGCCTGTAATCCTAGCACTCTGGATTACAGAGTGCTGAGACGGGTGGATTACTCGAGGTCAGGAGTTCGAAACTAGCCTGAGCAAGAGCGAAACCCTGTCTCTACTATAAATAGAAAGAAATTAATTGGCCAACTAATATATATAGAAAAATCAGCCGGGCATGGTGGCGCATGCCTGTAGTCCCAGCTACTCGGGAGGCTGAGGCAGTAGGATCACTTGAGCCTAGGAGTTTGAGGTTGCTGTGAGCTAGGCTGACGCCATGGCACTCACTCTAGCCTGGGCAACAAAGTGAGACCCTGTCTAAAAAAAAAAAAAAAAAAAATTAGCGAGGCATGGTAACATGCGCCTAAAGTCCAAGCTACTCTGGAGGCTGAGGCAAGAGGATCACTTGAGCCCAGGAGTTCAAGGTTGCACTGTGCTATGATTGCACCACTGTACTCCAGCCTGGGCAACAGGGTGAGACCCTGGTTGGGGGGAAGTAATAGATGTCTGTTGATATCACCAGAAGGCAAATTATAAGGAGTACAAATCTGGTTTAAGGAATAGCACCAAAGGCCAAGGTTCTCAGCCTTTGTTCAGCCACACACACTTGAAGGATACAACATACTCCTTCTAGTAACAATGGCTACCTTAAAAAAGGGGAAAAATAGGGGGAGAGAAAACTTATAGTATGAAAAAAAAATCCAGGTAATTCTGGTATTTGTGCCCATGCCCCCATCCTACTGAAAATCAAGGTACAGAGAAAAACCAGAGCAATAAAAAGTAAATTTCCATGCCTGATGTTTCCCAAATTCCTCAGCACAAGCTTGCATCCCTCAACGAGACCTCCATTACTAAGAATCCCTTACTAGAACTAAATTTTTGCTGTGGACTATGGACATGCTGAATTTAGAATAGACAAGGAGAAAAATAACACCACAAACTGTTGTTAGACTTGATATTCTGGGAAAATCAGGCTTTTATTGAAAAAAAACTTTCTTATTTTCTTACTTCTTATTCAAGCTTACTAAACTGGATGAGAAGTTTCCCGAATATATTTTTGGCTGTACTATGTCTATCACAACACAGCCTGTAACCAGATTTTTCATGAGTATTTATACTGAATTGCATTTTCTATTTTTAAGGCTATTTAAAAAACAAGACAGCTCAGAATTTCAAGTACACTAATAATCTTAGCCCAAATCTAACTCTAAATCAACTGATATATGCCTAAAAGTTTCCCAGGAAAATCCCCAAAAATTACACCAAAAAACACCAAAAGATGACAAAAAAAAGAGTCAACATGAGCATAAACTTGCTATACTCAAACAATTACAGTGTCTTATCTGTTGAATAACAGCAATATGGTAAGTAAATGAAGTATACAAAGGAGAATGTTGAGATGCAAGTTTTGCTTAATTCAGTAACTCTTCCTCATTATGGTCCACTGATGTTCACATCCTTACTCCCAATTCAAATACCGACTATAAAGTCAAAATTATTCCCCATTCTGAAAAGTCAGGAGTAAACCAATGTCTTTGTCTATAATCTCAATATCAAAATTCTCCTTAAAAAACTATGTTTTACCATAACTCATGCTCAAGTCTGTACTTTCTGCCTCCCATTTGTCATGACAAATGCTCATTAGACCATCTCCATAAGAAATCCCCGAGCTGTCTTTGAAATACCAACAGCTAGAATAGCGTTGGGCTACTTGTCATCGTGAAAACACATGGCTGACCCCATTTACATAAAGCAAGAGTTACAATCATATAGCAATATATTAAAACTTGTGACATATAAGCAAAAAAGTTCTGGACCTGGGGATTCTACAGGCTATAGTATGGACTTCATTCTCCAAACACCCTCTATCCAGTCATAATCATCCTCACACCACTTGAAGACAACAGTAGGCTGGAAGCAGTCCCAGTTTTATACCCCCAAAACAAAACATTTTTACTCCTTAGCTACTACTATCTTCAAAGTCAATGTCTTGAAGCCTGGCTATCTCCCACATATACTATTTTTTCTGGGCACAACAGAATTCTCTCTTTTGACTACTCCAAAATAATGGATAAAAGGATAATAATGGATAAAAAGACTTTCAGCTTTACTGCTAAATCACCTGGGAGTTCAAATAAATATACAGTAACTGAGCAATTTCAAGTTTGGGTTAAGGCAAAGAAAAAAAATTTTAAGTACAGTTTTTAGAAGTCACAAGTTTAGAACTGGTAAACATGAAAACTGATAAACATGAAAACTCTTGTTTTATATGCCTAATAAAATTGTGTCTTTCAAAGAAAGACTGTTATAAGTACTAAGTAAAAAATTATCTAAATCATGAAACAATTATCAAAAAAACAAAAAATTTTCAGAACATCATAACTATAACAAACATTCCCATCAAATTATTCAGGTCAAAAAAAAAAAAACTTCACACATTTACAGTATGGAATATATACACCTTTTTAGGCTGGTTTGTATATTCTCTAAATGTCCCAACAGTACAGAGACTTACTATCGTGTTTCCAGATTTCAAGAGTACAGTGTAGACTATATAATATGTTCACATATAAACTCTGCCCTACTTCATCTACTTCTCCCCAGATGATTTAATAATATATAATATCAAAGCATATCTTGATTATAGACACCAATGTAACTCAAAGTCTTGGCTCACCCCCCCCCAAGCAGGAGACCATTTAATACAATTTGATGATAATGTATATATTAAGTTCATATTGTCAGTTTCATAAGGGACGCTCTACTGAGATAATGAATCACAGGCCAGTTTTCCAGTGCTAACAGCTTGTGAACCAATATTTTCCATGGACAAACTCCACTTCCAATTTGACCACAAGCAAACTTCATGTCCGTATCCTCTGACATCCTAACTAGTAGATATTCTACAGAAGTGCATAAGATGCCAAATATAAGCATTACTGTGAGAAAAGTCAGGTTTTCATAAAACCGTATTTTCAGAATTTTAACAAGCAAGTACTTACCTCCCATCACGCATGAAAAAAGTTAAATGTATTTAAAAATCTCTAAGCTTTCCAATGCCAAAAACGCAAGCCTTGAAAAAGGTTTCTAAACTGCCCTTAAATCTGTCAAGCAAGCAAAAGTTCTTCTTACCATTAGTGTAATGAGGTTGGCAATTCAGTTCACTGACATGAAACCATCAACTCCGCAAGTGACCACCTAAATTTTAGTACACTTTCTAAGTTAACCCTATCTGAAAAGTCCAAGGAGAATACACAAGCACCTGGGCACACTGTCCTAGGGTCAGAAATGAACTCTTGTCAGTACAGCCCCTTGCACTCGGCCACCTCCAGCTGGCCCGTGGGCCCTTTCCACATGCTGACGCACTGCCCAACCCTGCACCGTTGGCGACCGGTGCAAAGTACTAGCCCAGTCTCAGAAACTTTGACTCGGTAGTTACCGGGACACTGAGCACCCACAACCTGGGGGCGGGGGGAGGAGTGGAGGTGTTCGTCATGGCCCAGGCGGTCAACTTTGACTTTGACGCGAGGCATTCACTGCAGGTAGAGATCTGCCCAGGACGAAGCCCATCCCAGACTGCAAAACCACAAGCATCAACAGCAGGAGCCAAGCAAAGTGCTCGTCGGAGGAAGGGGAAGGGCGCGCGAGAGACTCGGTCACGAACAGGCGCTCGCGTGTGGGTTAATGCCCTAACCACACGCCCCCCGGACGCAGGGCTGCCGAGACGCCAAGCCGACAGCAGCCACCGCGCAGCGGCCAGCGGCAGCGGCGGAGGCGGCAGCAATGTCAGGAGGGCACAGCTGGAGGCGGCGGCCGCCCGAGCCACCCCTCCGCCCCCAGGTGAGGGCGCCGACCCCGCCCGCCCCGGCCGCGGGAGCGGCCACCGAGGAGAGCCGCGGCGTCCGTGAGGCGGCCGACAGTCCCGAACCCGCTGTGCGCCGCTCCCGATCCTCCCGCATCCCCGTCCCGGGCCGGGGCCCCACCTCAGCCCTCCCAGGCTCAGCCCCAGCGCCGACACCTCCGGGCCACCCCGGCCCGCGGCTCCGGGCCGCCGGGCCGCCCTCGGGACCCTAGGAGGCCGCCCTCGCCTCACCTCCTCACGTCTCCGCAGGCGCTGCCGGAACTACTCCTGAGGCGCCAGCTCCCCACCCGCCGCCCCGCGCTTCGAGGCCGGGCCGGTCCCGTTCACTCCGCCGCCGCCGGGGCCCGGGGAGGGCGGAGGGAGCCGAGAGGGGAGGGGAGAGGGACGGCCCGGCAGGAAGAGGCGAGGGAGGGGGCGGGCCGAGGGGGAGGCGAGTCGAGAGCGCGCGCGTCCAGGCCCCTCGGCGCGGCGTGCGCGCTCCTGAGGGCAGAGACGCCTTCTCTGCCCAGCGGCGGCGGCGGCGGCGCAAAAAAAGCGCGTGCACGTCGGCTCCGGGCCGCGGTTGGGCGCGGGCGGGGAGTGAGGACGCGGCGGAACCCGGGCTGTGGGAGCAGGCCGCCCCGGCGGGCGAGCTCGCGGCCCCCGGGGACCTCCGCGCCGGGGAAGGGGACGGCGCCCGCACGCCGGCCCGAGCGAGGCGAATCTGCCGAGCGGTTACTGAGTTCTAAGATAACTCTGGATTGGGAAGATTATTTATTTTCTTGCTCATAAATCTGATTTTCATATTTTCATTCTTAATGCTCAGTAATCTTCAGGAAGTCACCTTAAAGAGTACGAAGTTTGCCGCCAGTTACTCTTTTCTGTTCTTCTTTCAAGGTGTCTGTGTGATTCCGAAGCGCTCCCGTGTTAATTCGTTCTGTGAGACTCGGGCTTTGAAGGGGGAAACAGGCGAGGAATGGACAGGAAAGTGCTAAGCCCTGTTGTGTATTTATATGAAGAAAATGTGCCCTCATTTTCACCTTTTTATCTTATGGGGTCATAGACTTTGGGAGTATAAACTAAATAGAGTTAAAATCATCCAACTCTTTTCGCTGCAAATCTTGTATTGATCCTTGTTTAAACTGTGGATATTCGTCTTGGATCCTGCAACCAGAAATGACCTGTGAATTTTCTTAATCTCCTTAGCACTTAGTGTCCGCAGGTTTGGGGCACCTCATATACTCAAGCTTATCTTTGTTAACCTGTGCAGTATTTTATCCCCCTCGAGTATCCTTGAGCACCTGCTTCATTCATTTGTATCTCTTCCACAATGCACCGTGCCTGAATCATAGGAAGTACTCAATAAATGTGATTGCATGAATAAGTGAATATAGTGCAGCAAGAGTTACCTGTATGTCCAATGTTTGAACTCTAGAATGGCTTATTTAGTTTAAAATTCTCCATTCTATTCCACTTCAATTCCCCTGCCCTCGTTTCCCCACCCATATCCAAAAGCTACTCTGAGAAATGTGACATTTGTCCAAAGGGCCTTTCCTCCCAAGTTCCTTTTTTCACCTTTCCTTAAATGTTAATGTGTAGGTATATCGAGAGTGTTGCCACTATCTATTTTGTTTCCTCTACCTGCTGGGCTGCTTCCCAGAAGGTCCTTTTTTTAACATCCATATCCCAAGAGCCTACCTAGCCTTGGGCCCAACAATAAATACTGAAAGTTTTGGTGATATCTAATAAAGTTAGAATTAGAATAACACAAATCATCTGTTGATCTCTGATATATACAAGATTTTAATAAATATGCCAACAAGTAAGTACTGAGCTTCTACTAAATAAAGTGCTATTAAAGTTATACTGGGCACCATGAGGAAGTCAACAAATGAAAAGTTAAAATTTCTGACTTCTTATGTATTCTAACTAGAGTGAAGCTTTTTGACAAAAAGGGCAATGCTGAAGTAAGTATGGGCATTCAATAAGAAACTTAGCCAAAAAAGAAAAGAAAAAAATTTTGAATGATGAACCCAAAACAGGTTTTATGTTCCCCAAATTCAGTTCTGTATGTCTTTGAAAGCAGTAATAGTGGCCACCATTAGCCATTGCTAGCTAATTTTTCTAATTAAAGGGGAACATGACATCTAAATCACTATGGTAGGATCAATCCATGTGCCAACTTGCTACAAAGAAAAGAAAAACCCTGCCCAAGGCCACATGTCACACCTCTAATCACCAGGAGTCATTCTGTAATACTGAACTTTTGCTCACAGTAGAACCTAGATAAAAGTCATAAGAGAACCTAGATAAGAGGCAAGTCACAAGAGAACCTAGATAAGAGACAAATCACAAGAGAACCTAGATAAGAGCCAATGAAGGTGATTTGGTGCAAACTCATCCTCACCACCAGGAAAACAATTCTAAACACATGCCAAAGAATTAATAACAAAGCATTCTTCATATAATGTGTGCTGCTCTCTTCTCTCTCCACTGTGGCTGCATTTACACTAAGCATATCCTGGCAGCCATGAAAGGACTGACGCTCTCACTTTGAGAGAAGGTGCTATAAAATATTCTAGCATGATTCATAGCATGACAGAAACTGGTGGCCCAGGTCCAAATCTAACCTACAAATATGTTTTGTTTGGCCTGTATGATGCTTAGAAAAAAGATTAGCCAAAGTTAAAAAACAGAATATTTCATATGCATTCTGGGCTTCTCTTTAAAAAGTGGAAGATTTGGTATCAGTAGGTTTACATTATCACATGGCAACCATCAGCTACAGGTTATGCATTCTTTCTTTTGCCAGTCTCTGCATTCCATATTGTACCTTACAGTCTTGTTTCCCTTACTTAGGTCTGCAACTCCCAGTTTACAATAGAATATCAAAAAACTGGAACCATGTTAAACATTGAACGATAATGGAAGAGTTTAAACTGTGGTATTTAACGGTGTAGAATATCACACTGCTTTTATAATGGACACTCTATCGGTTGATTCCCCAGTATACATTTCTATCCCTCTGCAATTATGAGGCAGTCAAGTATTCGATTAGGCCCATCTCTAGGTGTGGGCACTGCCTGATGCGCAATAATCAGCCTAATCCCATTCCTACTTGACCTATTCATTCGTGGGCACTGACGTAAGTCTAAATTGGCTCCAATCATATGGAAAGCCAAGCCTTGTGTTTGCTGGAAAATGAAAAATGTTCTGTTTCTTACTCTAGTGTGATGGATAGATGTGAGTCCTATAATTACTACAGCCACTTTGCTAGTGAAGGAAGCCAGCTGATCATGAAGCTGACACATAAGGGAAGAGCTCAAACCCAGCTTGAAACCTACCCTTCCTCTGGATTTAGTAACTTGTCTGAGCCAATAAATTTTCTTAGATGTTTAAGAAAGTTTGAGTTTGCCTTTTATTACTTGCAGCAAAAGCTAAATTTTTCCCTGCATGGTACAGAAGAAGGAGCTATAGTTGCATTATATGACTTTTCCAAGAATACATTTCCAATAAGATGTGGAGGTACCTATTTGGCAAGATTTTAGAGGGCCTTGAAAGGATCTTGACCACCCCCAAAAATCCTTACCTGACTAGGTTATCTGATGCCTGAGAACCCATCATTACACTTTTTTTTTACTTTGACTTAAATCCTGTGCCCTATGTAAGTCACCTTTGCCTGAGACACGCACTTCATGATCAATAAAATCCAGAATGTGGGAGACTTTGCAGGGCAAACTACCAAGTTCCTTCAACAAATAAATTGCATAAATATAATTGGAAGGAGAATCTATTGAACTTCCTTGAATGTTGATTTTGTTCTTTTTAACAGCTTCATGAGATATAATTGACATATAATAAACATACATATTTTTAAAACTGTACAATAAATTTGACAAGTTTTGACACGTATGCACCTGTGAAACCATTACCACAGTCAAGATAGCGAATGTATCCATCACCCCAAAAAGTTTTCTTGTGCCCCTTTTTTATTCCTCCTTCCTACTCTGCCTCATGTCACTCATCTGCAGGCAACCACTGATCTGCTGTCACTATATTAATAGTTGCATTTTCCAGAGTTTTCTATAAATGAAATCATGCAGTATATATTCTTTTTTGTGTTGCTTTTTTCACTCAGCATAATTATTTTGAGATTTATCCATGTCACATGTCAATACTCTATTCTATTCCTTTTTAGTTTTGAGTCTCACAGCATGTTCCCCAGTACCCATGTGATCCAACAGTCTTCAGCATGTACTTGCCTTCAGCTCCCTCCAATTCTGTTTTTCTGTTTTCTCTTATCTAAAATCTGGGGATTTCCCCTTCTTGCTTTCAAGCTTGGTGAAATATATTTTCTCAATTTTTAAAGTTAATAACTTTAATAATTACTTAATTCAACATATTTAATAGTTAATAATTCTGCATTTTTATATTTTTTGAAAGGTAAGGAGTCTTCCTTGTCAGCCTCATTTGCTGTATTGATCTGAGTTGTATTAATTTTTTTAACAATGTAAAGGAACTCTGTGAAAAGGAACTTTATTTTTTAACAATGTAAAGAAACCACTCAAAGAGAGAGCTGTCTCTGTGTAGAAGTGATATCAGTCATTTTAGAAGAGTTCTTCCCTTCCCGAAGCTTTTCCTACACCAAAAACAGTCTTTCCAAACACAATTTTGGCAGTAAACCCCAAATTCCCTTGAAGTATTTGCCACAGGCATAGTAAATTCTAGGTTTTGGATATATAAGAAACGTTCCTTAAATACATATGTTTTGCAGAAAAGCAACTTTCAAAAATTACAAATATACTTTCATGGTAAAGGGAGGATAATTACCACTTTCCTCTTCTGAACCAAGAGTAATCCATGCCCTCTCTCTCCACCACACCCTCTCCCTCCCTTCAAGACACTTTTTTAGTCCCTGTTCCCTTTGCCACGTAAAAATAAGCTGCAAATTTGAAAAACTATTTAGGTCTAAGTTCTATGAGAGTCTATCTAACGTAAAGGGTAAATGAGAGATATTCAATGACAAATGCTGTTGCTTTGGAATATGTTAAAAGATTCCTGGCTGGCCCTCTGGGAGGCCAAGGCGGGAGGATCACTTGAGGTCAGGAGCTCAAGACCAACCTGAGCAAGAGTGAGACCTCATCTCTACTAAAAATAGAAAAAATTATCTGGGCAACTAAAAACAGAAACAAAAAATTAGCCAGGCATGGTGGTGCATGCCTGTAGTCCCAGCTACTCAGGAGGTTGAGGCAGGAGGATCACTTGAGCCCAGGAGTTTGAGGTTGCTGTGACCTAGGCTGATGCCACAGCACTCTAGCCCAGGCAACGGAGTGAGAATGTCGAACACACACACACACACACACACACACACACATACACAAAACAGTATCTGGTACATACTTTTTAACTG